CCTGGCATCGCTACTAGGAACAAGAAGCTACTAGGGGCTCCTGGCATTGCTACTAGGCACAAGAAGCTACTAGGGGCTCCTGGCAGCGCTACTAGGAGCATTCTTACTACTAGTAACAAATAAAAGAACAATAATAATACGCACTGTCACTGTTGTTGAGGAGTAAGGCTGAGTATAAGGAGTAACAAGCCAAGTCCATTCCCGCCATGTGTGCCTTTGATGCCTTCATGCACCGCTGTTGATCATGTTTGATTCCTTTGCTGCAGATGTGTTTCTTTTCACTCCATTTGACCGTGCTCCCCGCCACAAGCCACGGTGCTCCCTTTAACGAGTAAACTTGCTGAAGAAGGGAGGCTTTGTAGAAGAAGAGTGCAAATTAACACTGCGTTGGTGTTTTCCCCCCGACTCGTCACCTAGAATCGGCGTGCTGCAGAACATCCGTCCAGGTCGTGGCGTGCTGCCAAATGGACTCAGTGCCGAGCTCAACGAAGTCTTCGGAACTCTTCTCTGTTCATGTGTATGTTTTGGTCTTAACCTTGCTTGCTTCGAATGTCAGAACCGTTCCTTCCTTTAGAATGGCCTAGAGAATCGTGTTCTACGTGTAGAGCTCGGTGCAAAAAAGGTGCCATCCTTTGAACTCGTATCGTCACCAGTCTGTCACTAAAAGTCCTGTCGGCATGGCATCGATTTTGGCTCGGAGCTCATGTCATCCGAGCTCACATTAAGGATACGTGATCCTGCGGAATGCCATGCCTCCAGGGAGGTTTGAGGCACGGACTCAAAGTGTGTTTGTTCGCAAAAAGAACCATAAGAACAGCAATCCAGCTCCAAGCTTTGCAAAGCTCCAAGCTCCATTCTATCAGATCATATCAGATCAAACAATCACAGTTGCAACGGCGGCCATCTCAATGAACAGCTACTAGGAGCAAGGACGCTACTAGGGGCTCCTGGCATCGCTACTCGGAGCAAGGGCGCTACTAGTAGCTCCTGGCCTTACCAGTAGGAGCAAGAGGACGCTAACAAGAAGCCACTAGGAGCAAAGGGCATCGCTACTAGGAGACGCTACGAACGGAGCAATGTTGCAACAGCGGCTCAGACTGTGAGGCGCACATCGAGTTGCACGTGGGAAGCATTGACGAGGCACATTGACGTGGTTCTGATCGGTGCCGGTGAAGGGAATTCAGCCAAAGTCTGGAAGTGGAACGAGGTGGCGGATTCAAAGATAACTTGTAGTGTGTAGATGTGTGTAGTCTGTGTAGTTGCCTGGATTCCACGAACCTTTGTTTGAAGCTCACCCAAGAGAGCTGCAATGAGCCGCATGCTGACGTGGCCAGCAAAAGCCGCACCGCGAGGTTTGACACATGGTTAATTCCATGTCCCTCAACTGTTTGACACATGGCTAGTTAGGTGCATTCACAAGACTGTCTTGTCAGAATGGTGTGCTATTATGTTGTTTTTCTCCAGGATCCAGATGAGCAGGGCATCGCACACATGATGGAGCACGTGTGCTTCTTGGGCAGTCGCAAGCGCGAGCGGCTCATTGGTACGGGCTCGAGATCCAATGCGCTCACCGACTTCCAGCCACTCGACCCACCGGGCAGGGCGGTCAGGTGTTGGCGCAACCGGCGTTGCTTTCGGCTTGGCATTGTCGCAGGTGGTAAGTTGGAGTGTCTTCTATATGAATATACATTTGACAGTCTTCTATATATATATATATACATTTGCTGTGTTCTGGCTCCTGTGTTTGTGTTTTTGAAGGCATTGTGGGTATGTTCTACCCCTCTCGACCCAGATAGCTTGTGAACCACGGATTTCCACAGCTTGATTCCAACCCGGGTGCCATTCCGAAATTCCATCAGTGTCGCAGATGGGTCATGCTGAACAAACCTTTACACCACGAGAAAAGAAGTTCGAAGCATTGTGCATGAACTGTTTTTGGTAACTAGCAGTTGCAGTGGCAGCAAGAAGCCTTTTAGTAAGGTTCTTGCTAGTGAGGGAGAAGTAGACAGAGCCAGAAGAACCAAAGCCTTACAAAAAGCATCTTGTGTTTGAATGGCGGAAATTCCTTTTAAGGTTCAACACCTGCAGCACCTGAGGCACACCATCTACCATGTCCATGCGCCAGTGAAGTTGGAGGATGGACGTAGCATGTACCTGCCCTGCCTGGAGGCGATGGTGGCGATGGTTTTGGGACGGAGCTTCGTGGAGTTGTTCTTTTCGGAAACGAAGAAGATTGAAGTTGGAGGTTCATTAGTAGGAACAAGAGGACGCTACTAGGGGCAAAGGGCATCGCTACTAGGAGCAAGGACGCTACTAGGGGCTCCTGGCCTTACTACTAGGAACAAGAAGCTACTAGGAGCATTCTGAGGATTCACGATTTTGGGGTCGCAGACCAACGGAACGACTGCAACGGAGCACATGTGATACAAGGAAGATGAGTTCCTTAGTAAGTTATTGTCCTCCAAGGAAAATATGAGTGGTTAGACGCCATGGAAGGTCTTCTCAGTTCGTCCCCCTACAGGCAAACCATGATTGATCATTGTCGTGTTCCTATTGTGTTTTTGTCGTTTCGTTCCATACGGGGCGGTTCCATACAGACGTCTTGTCGTTCTAAGGCCCTCTACGAGATCGCCTTTGCTCCAGAGATGCTGCCCCATCGTATCGAGAAGGAACGTAAGGCCCGACGACTGACGACTGGTGACTGGTGACTGGGCACTGACTGGGCCGGAATTTGGATGTGTGGTGATGAGAAAGGAAGTTGTAGGTGGGTATAGAGTCTATATATATATAAAATCATATATAGAGAGATCATGTTTTGGGGTTCGAGCATATGGGGTGAGATTCTCAAAATAGGCTGTGCACTTTGTGAAGCAAGAGAAGCTTTGGCAAGGCTGTGTTGGCTGAGATGCAGCAAGTGAACGCCAGGGCCATAGCGTGAGAGCATATTCTGTGTCGCCTTTCTCAGAGAATTTGAGTATACTTAGCTGGCTGAATTGGTTGGGTTAAGCATGACATCTCTACTCACAGATGAGCCACACTCCAAGCTCATCGGGGGTGATTTCAGTCAACGTCAAAGTCATTGTGTTTGCAACATTTTGCAACTACAAAACTGTTCTTTCACAGTTTGTTCTACCACATCTCGTGCATTCTGTCATGCATCACATGGTGACACGATCGTGTCAATGGGACCCAACTATAGCAGACTCCCGACTCCTAAAGGTTCGTTGAAAGCCTGAGAGATCTCAACCGAAAACAGACAGGTTCTGATGAATGACGTTGTTTGTGGGCACTGAGGACATGGAATACCGAATTGAGACCTGGACCCTGAGCGGCTTGCATGAGACATGCAAGCTGGGTTCGTGTTTTGGCTGCATTATCATAACGGTGGCCTCCAACCTAATAGCAAAACGAACCTAAGTGCAATGGCCTCCACCCTAGTAGCGCTGGCCTCCAACCTAGTAAGCGATGGCCTCGAACCTCGAAGCGAATTTCGACGTGGAGATAAAGTGAAGTCAGAGTCTACATGCAAGGAAAGGTCGGTGTGTTTTGCTGAGAGTTTCACGATGGTTTTCAGTGGATATGATTTGCAACAGCAGTTTTGGCTTTGCACGGTTATCCTAGTTTGGGGCAAATGTTTGGACCGGCAAGAATGGTCGCATCCTGCAGGCAGTTCCCCATTGGAAAGGAAGAGCAGATCAAAGCTTGGCAGCAGAAGGACCACGATATTTCGTTAAATCATATTAGAGCGTTTGTCTCGCAATGGCCATCCTTGGAAGTGGATGAATAGATACACATTTGGGCCGGCATGTCTTGGATCGAAGATGGGATTCTGTTTGCTGCGTCTCCACCACCCCAGTTCTTTAAGATCTTATCAATATTGTGCTTAATTACGGTTGTTTTGAATTTGTTGAAGTCATGACATGCGCCACCCACCAACGTGGTCTCAGACGTGTCCAACGCAGTTTCGAACCCGGCCAGGACTTGCGGAACTTCCATGAGAAATGGTACTACCCCGGCAATGCCACGCTTTATGTCCGGACCGCCTGGACTCTCGCAAGCACCGATTCTACGGTGGCACACCGTTGGAGAGGGGAATGACCGGGGTTTGGAACTGACCGGTGGTGAAAGCTTGCAGCACTCCTGATGTCGCGACAGCCCATTGCAGGTTGTGGGTGACATAGACGAGACTGAGATGGTCGATGGCATCAAGAAGGCTGTGACGCGCGGTGGCGTGAGATTCAGATTCTTGCAGTGTGTTCGATCCTCAATGACAGTTGATCTATATATGTGGATGTTGGCTTCGACAAAGCACAGACTTTTTGGTCACCTCTCCAGAGACCAAGTAGCCAGAGTTGTTTGCTATCTTAGATGGCCATGCAAGCCACAAATCGATGATATTTAGCTCGATCCAATGGTCCGTGGAAAGGTGTTGTGGCAAGCGGGTGGTTCAGCTAGCAAGAGTTAAGTCCAAGCGAACCCAAGGCACCCCACATTCCATTCCAAACCGTCACCCGTCCGTTCGTGTGGAACCGCCGAACGTTTGCTATAGTGCTTTAAGCACCGCCGTTCTTGGAACCGCCGTTCTTGAAAGTCACTTCATCAATTTCATCAGGTCTTTGAGCTGGCAAATGCCCGCCACAAGCCTGGAGCCCACAAGTGTCGCATCGCGAGCTGCAATGAGAGATGAACTCATCATGACAGCGATGAGAGTTCTCTTCTCAAAGCGAAAGACAACTCAGTTTCAGCGTTTCTGCCAGGGTGGACAAGTCAAGGTTTCGAGTCACTGTTCAGTGCCAAACAGCTGATGCGAACGATTCAAGTCCTGTTTCGGTTACTGAATAGTTGAAACACTTCCGTCGGTGCATCAACGGATGGATGTGGCACCTGTCTAAGGCCCTCTCCAGACTCTGCCATCATGGAGCCGATCTGGGGAGAGGTGTGGTGAACAGGGCTGTTTTGTGTGCCAAACAGGGAATCTGGCGCTGGGCTAAACGAAATAATTAGATGAAGATATCATATTATGATACGGTTACTAACCGTATGCCCGGGCAATACAAACACCAGTGTAAACTGGGGCACAACGTCACACCTGTTTCACTCTGGCACTTAACTACCCTGATTTGTCCCAAAAAAGACTACTTGCTGCTACTTAACGAGAACTCTTTGTCCCCAAAGAAACCTCCACGTGTTCTCCACTCCACGCCAGGCCTCTGCAGATGCGAGATCCCTCTTCCGCCGAAAGATTGCTCGGGAGCGGCCTGAGCAGCTCCACAACTTCAGTTCGGGATCCTTGAAACAGAGACCAAAAAGAACCGGATCAAAAGCCGATGTTCCAGGACTTCAATGGACAAATTATCCAAGGTCACATTATTTTTACTGCTCTTGACACGTATTGAAAAGGGATCGAAGGAGAAAAGAAAAGGCCCAACGGTAACAGGAAGGCCAAACAAATTTAGAAATTAATGTACCCCTTGCAGGCCTTTGATACTGAATACAAGAACCCTATGGGATTCCCGCCATGGCAGACGGCATGGGGCCAATATGCTCGTGAATGATTCCACGGACTTCGGCGAGGTCCTTTGAGTGTAGGCATGTTTGTAGGGAGGCCCCTGGAAGATGGCCAGGGCACATAAGAAAAGAGAAGATCACTGGATCCATCCATGTCGGCGCAAAAGAAAAGAATATAAAGCCGACAAGTGACAAGTCGATATTTGGAAAGAACGCGCATGCCCCGCCAAAAAAAGAAAGAACACTTTTAGCCTGTGCTGCAAGGCTATAGTTAGCGATCGGCCCGCTTCACCCGCTGCCCGGGGGGATTCATGCCATGGCAGGCGGCATGAAACTATGAGCACGTGAAGGACGCCGCGAAATTTGGGGAGCTCTTTTGAGCGCAAGCATTTTTGTAGAAGGCGCCCCAGCAGCCGAAAGAAATACGGATCGCCGAATCAATCTAGATGTTCTGCCAAAACGCATCGCTTCTGTGCAGCTTGTGTTACAAAAGCAAGACACTGCTGGATATCAAGCAATACCGTATTCTCGACGCACCTGCAAGTACACACGGGCTGGTCACCTAAGTACCCGGCGTATCTCAAAGAGAGGACGAAAGAGCAAGGCGGAGAGAGCAAAGGATAGTAAGTATAAACGTAACGGTGCGTGGTCTTCTTACAAGTGTGAATGAAGGCGCTGGCATGACTCCAAGCAGATATCGGCCCAAGAATCCCGCTATAACCTTCGCTCTTCGTCTTTCCTGGCCTCTTGCCACGCAACAGAGAAGTATGAAGCGTAGAAAATCCCAGCTTCGCCCCGTCAGGGTGCCCACCAGATACTTGCAGATGGGACTTTAAGGTTTGCACCCGCACCTGACTATTCACCACTGAGAAAGAAAGCCTATACGCGTTTAAGTCCGATTTGCATGCGTCTATGTGCTCAGGCGAACCTCCCTCAAAGAGTTGGCACCTAACCCCTTCGAACTCCGCTGCGTCCTCGGGGTCTTATAAGGCAGTATACTCGTAAATCGGAAAGATTGACGCAGCGAAGTCACTCCCGGAGCTGAGGTTTCGGATTCGATGACTGGCACGCCATAGCCGCGTTACCAATGACTGCGCCCAACGTCGACAAAGAGGCGAGGAAGCGTGGATACCTCAGAGTCAAGAAACAGTGTGTGCGAGGTCTGTAGCCGCACAAAGTCTAGAGATCTAGAAACACTGGAGTCCAGAGAGGCGATGGTGGTGAAGAGCTCCAGCAGCCGTTGGAAACACTGCTCGGCCACTTGAGCGACTCCGAAGATGTGGAGTCGTGAATGCGGGCAGCGTTGTGCGCAGGTTCACGAAGCGCTTCGCCTGCCACGAAATCTGCACTTCAAGATTCGCACGCGGCGGCTGCGTGACTGTTTGGCATCATGTTTTGGCAGCATGATCTACATTTTGCGAGTAAGAGGAGGAGGAGGAGGAAGAGGAGGCGGCCACGCTGTCGCCGGCGGCGGCTCGGCGGTGGCGCATCGCCACGGAGCTCCACTGGAGGGCGCCGCTGGGCGACGTGCGCCGGGCCACGGAGGATCAGCTCGCAACCCACGAGGTTGCGTGGCCCGACGGCTGCAGGCTCGGTTGCTCGGGCGTGGTGGGAGGGCAGATGTTTGGGAGCGATGCCGCGGTGCACTGGGCCTTGCTGGAGGGCGTTTGCGTGTTGCGCCTGCGTGTCTTGTGCGTCGGTTTCTGCGTGGGGATATTCTAAAGAACAACATCAGAGGCTATCGTGCATTTTGAGCAGCTGCGCGTATTACCACCGAACATCGGAATTGATACGAATTAATATGTGTTGTGGACTTGTTAGCTTTGGTTGCGGCTGTCAGTTGATATTACCAATGGTCGACTTTCACTCAACAAGCAGCGCACCGCCGAGCGATGACCCGACGACGTCTCCCACCAGGCGCGCGCCTTAGCGACGCGCTAGCCCGCAAACAACACAGAACGCAAGCATGCTGCGCGCTGCACTGCGTATGTTCAGGCGGCGTCGCCCGGACACTCCTCCGCCCAGCGACTCCCAGGCGGAAGAGGAGGAAAAGTAGGAGGAAGCAAGATGGAACGGTTGAATGCAAACCAAACAGTTGCGCGCAATCATCTTGGTGGCTCAGGCGCGGCGTCCAACCCCCGACCCGGACCCGGCGTGGTACCTTCACACCTTACAAGAGGCTGGGACACGACAGCAATCGTTGTGTAGGATGCGGGAACACGCAACGATCGCGCAGGCTAAATGAAAGTCTTTAATGAGATCAAATTTGGAAGGCGGGTTCGGTCAGAGGACCGTGCTTGAGGGCGCGCCACAGGTTTCCAAGCTAAGGGTGTTGCTTGCAAGCACGTTCACTCATGACCTAGTGTAAGTATACAGCTCAGACGCTGGCATTTGATTTTAGCGCGCGTGGGAAGAAAAAACACGATTGCAGGATCAGGAAGAAAACACGTTTAGCTAAATTTGTCTCCAAAAGTTTACAAGGGCGAGTGAGTAGAACTAACATGTTTTCATATATATATATTGTAGATCCAAGCGTTTGTTCTCTTCAAAAAGGCTGCCTGGCGCTGTGGTTTGTATTTTGAGCCCTGCTCCAAAAACGAAAGGCTGGAAAGCCAAGAATTAAGGGCAGGGAAGCCAAATGAAAGACTGAATTCCAAAACTTAGCCAAAGACCAAACCAGCGCACAAAAAACCAGCCACAACAGAGCAAACACCGATGCAGTGCCAGTTGGTTTTGCAAACGCAATCACACAAGTAAAAACGAGGGAACACCCAAAACCCACATCACTTTCACTTACACACTGTTCCAGCGATTGGCGCTTCTTTGATCTTCACGAGGCGAGGCAGTGGGAGTGAAACCTGAAACCGCTGAGCATGAAACATCAGGTACAGAATCGGCCGTGACCGATCCCTTGAAAAACTTGTTCATGGGGGCCGGGCGCAATGAAGTTGGTCGTCAAATGGGCAGCGGTGAGACTCAGAAAGCGTCACAGGTGGCCTGCCAAGCGCTAGCTGCGTTGGTGTCTTCCATAGTTCTTACTGTTTTATGTTGATGGCTTCCCAACCTGGGTTTTTCGATGGCTTCCCAGCCTTCAATAGTGTTTCCCAATCATATTGTGCTCTTTTTTAGCACGCTTGACGGCTTCCCAGCCAAGTCTCGATAGCTTCCCAGCTTGCGATGGCTTCCCAGCCTATTTGGCGATGGCTTCCCAGCCTGGTTTTTGAGGTAAAGCGCAATACACTGTGCTTAGCGATTTGTTCAAAATCTTCTTTTCTTTCTGGCCCTGTAGCCTGCAATGAGCCATGGGATGCGTGCTTTGCAAGCAACACCCTTAGACTTGTTCAGCAGTGACACATCCTCCATTGGCTCAACCATCCTCATCAACACTTTTATTGGGACCCACCTAATACCTCCAAATTAGATCTAGTTAAGCGACCAAAGTCTGTGTTGCGCAGCCTTCTCGCATTGCTTGCACGGGCGGCTTTGCGCGGCGAGTGGCAAAAGGGCGCAGCAAGCAACGACAAGCGGCCAAGAAGAGCGGAAGCTACATCAAGAAAGTCGAGCGTTACAACTTCATGATCAAGTGGTTGCTGCAAAGCTACTGGGACACCAAGGGGCGCCCACTCTTCACCCATGGTGCTTTGGCCGCGGAACATTTGCAGCTGGAAAATTCGCATGCCCAGACGACTGTAGTCAGACAGCTCACCTCGGGCGCGCCTCCATCGACGCAGCGGCACTCTTTGCACCGCGTATGGCGAAGGACCTGCCGGCGTCGCAGGGTCTGTTGGCCGAACCCAACACCGTCAGCGGTAGTGTCACCGCGCGATGTTTGAATGGCCTTATAAGTGTGGCGGTCGGGATTGTGATAGGTATGTCATCTGCAAAATATGGGTAGAAAGGGTGAGACAAAAGGGAGAAGCGCCTTTTTAACCTGTTGCTGTGACCGCTCTTGAAGCATGTCGTTGATATAGTGAGCAGTTCACAGACCTGGTTGAGGATGATGTGGTGAATGCCCGGCAGAAACAAGGGTGCAAACCCATCCAACTTACTGATGAAAGTATTCTACCAAAGCCTGCCCCGCAGATCTCCGATGCTTGTTCACATCCAAGACTCTATTTGGCTCAAAGTGTGCTTGCACTCCATGTTGTTGTTTTGTAAAAGTAGGACTGCCATTAGGTTGGAGACCATCGCTTCTAAGTTGGAGGCCATCACCATCGTCACCACTAGGGTATCTAGTAGTAGGAGTATCTACGAGCTTGTTGCCCAAGGCTTGCCCATGATCGGGACGGACGACATCTTCACCGGCGTGCGATAGCCCAACTCCGATGCTGACGTGGTAGAAACCATGATGTTGGCGTGCAAGTCCACTTTGCAAAAACAATTTTCGAGACCTTCGAAAGAGAGACCCAAGCAGCATCCATTCTTTTGTTTTGGACGGCAAAGGCTGCAGCCTTCGATCCTAAAAATGGTGGCAAGTGCGGTGCTGAGACGTGCGACTTGTGTGGGATTGACAAGCTAGTGATAGGTGCTGGGTCGTTCCCAGCAAAGGTCGGGCATAGCACCCTTAGCCTTGGTGTTTTGTGCATGCTTGATCATGCTCGTTCGTATTCCGACCAAGTTGGAGGGCCAAATATGTTCTGAGATGTTCCATTTCAAGCGGTCAGTTGTGCAGAGATGTACCAAAATCATGCCTACTTTCCCAAAAAAAGGCCATAGGAACCATCGGCATCGTGTGGAACAATGATTTTCTCCGTTATCCATTCTCTATGTGCCGGGTAGGGATGTAGACCTCCCCGCAGCAACATTCGAGCCCACTCATCTGGGCCCCCATAATAAGCCTTGGCTGAAAGCAAAGAGATGTGAAGAAACGAAGGCATGGCCTCTCCGACGCCAGGCCGTGGCATGGGCCTCTCCGCATCTTCCGAAACGAACTGTTGGAAGGCCTCCAGGCGTGCGCATCACCACACCTTGGCCGGATGCGGGTGTTGCAAAGGTCGGGTGTGGTTCCATTAAGGTGTGCATGTGTGGACAAGAAGGTTGGCCAGGAACTGAAGGTTGATATTTCATGGATTGGTTGCTATCACAGAGCTGAAATATTTGCAAGGGTTGGCTAGACAGAATCAGACTTGTAAGCAGGTTCAAACTGAGATGCAACTGAACCTTTGTTGAGAAATGCCCACCTGTGCAGTGGGAAGTGTTTTCAGCGAATTGACAGCAGTTGGTGACATGTATGCCGTAACCTCGTTGCGGCCAATGGGACGCATTGAAGTGGAGAAGTGTCCGGGATGTTGCATCGAAACAAGGTGCATTTGCATATGCGTTTCCTTTCATTAGTACCTAACTAGTAGCTAGAAGCTACTAGGTGGAGGCCATCGCTATTGGGTTGGAGGTCACTACTACGAGTAGCTGGAAACTACTAGTAACATGTGTTTTCTCCTTTTTTTGACAAAAAGCGAAAGCGATTTGTCACTCTCCAACGGTTCGAAGCAATGCTACTTCGAGGCCTTGCGAGGCTGCCAGTTCAGCATACGATCCACGAGAATGCAGCACTCACTCCTCACAAGAACGTTTTCTCTGTTCGCCATTTTCATGCCTTTGCCTTGCCCCTGCGGCCTTGTCACAGCTAAACTTCTATGCCAAGACCCCGGTGCGCCCGTTGCGGACCTACGAGGCACAACGGATCGGAACGGACCAGGCTGTTGGCGGGTTTCCTGGGGAGTGTATCGTTCTACTTCCACCAATCAACAATCAGATGAATTTCTTGATATGTCTTCTAGATTTGGCCACACCCAGAGAAGGCTACTAGTACAATATGACTTGGAGGTTTGTGGCCAGCGGAATATGATTGCCCAAATCATCCGCATAAAGTTCAAGGTGAGTATCAGTTAGAATCTCAAAACTGCAGTTTCGACCGGAAGAATAGGTGGAGGGTTCGACGTTCAAAGCTCTTCCCCCATTGCATCTCGGGCATGTATATCCAAGGAACCAACATCTTTTTGAAGGTAAGGGATTGCTGCCGGTCAAAAGCATCTTCGCCGTCGGAACATTGTGGGCGCAGCAGCACAGCTGTTATGCATTCCTCAGCAATGGCAGGATATTCGGAATCTGGTGGCAGTGCGCATTTTGGTTGGCCCGAACCCAAATGTGTCACGTCCGACGTTGAGCTCAAAACCCTTGGAACGCAGAAATAAATTAGAAACATTCGACGAACAGGGGTGGCCAGAATCATGTGCTCGCCATTCAATCGATCAAGCAGCAGCCTGTGTTTGTTTACATTGTTTCCAAGAATTCCAAGAATAACTTCTCATGAGTGTCCTTTTTGCTTTTAGGATCCAATTCTGTTCAAAATGTACCGAGCCGAGCTGCGGTAGCCGTGGCCACATGTCAAGCTGAGGCGTTCTGCAGTTCCGGATTGTGTCCCGTTACAGCTCCAACCATGTACCAAGCCACAGTTCAGTGGGCTGGAAATCCGTGCGACTGGGAGTTGCCACTGTTCCTCAACGTCGAATGAATGCGTCTTCAATGGAGAAACTCACCAGGAATTCGATGGAGAAGTGTCCACCGAAGACCCACGAGTGAAACAAGTTCCATGCGGCCCATGCGTCATTCAATCAAGTGTCACATTTGCTTCCAATCTCTAAAGTGGATAACACTGTTACTCCGTTACTCCACCATGATCGTACTATGACTGCGAGAGTGTGCCACCCCCTGAAATGCAAGAGATTGAACACAACCAGGACATGAATGTTTGCTTGAAACTGAGACATGGCGAGAGCAAACCAAACAACCCATGCCAGCCGTGCTACCATAAACAACCACGACAAAAACCCAACTGAAGTCCAACACCTCAGGTTTTGGGGCCGTCACCTGAAGACCGGTAGAAATGCACCTTTAAGGCCTATAGTTACTGTAGTAGGTGGTTCACTGTTCCAAGGAAAATGAAAGACGAGTGTCTTTGGGCCTCTTTCATACCGGCCTTATGGTTAGGCCCAAAGAATCCCAAAGAGTTTTCCTTAGATTCAGTGTCCCTTCCTTTGTTTAATATCCTTTTCCTTTGCCACAAAAAAAGAAGTACTATCCGAAGACACCGAACCAGTCCCAGACACTGGACCAGCCGCCGCTGCCGCCTCGGCGTGGGTCCGACGAAGGCGGTCCGACGCGTGAGGCACCCGTCCAGATCGACCACAGCGACTCCTTCCGCGAGGGCTGTGCAGCGCGGAAGCCGAGAGGAACAGACGAGGGCTGAGGTCCGCGAGGCTCCGAGGGCTGAGCTCCGAGAGAGTGGTTTCTCGCCTGGATCCTTGAAGAGTCCCTCAAGGATCCACAAACCCCTCAACATTGGCAACTCCTAAAGGATTCGTTTAAATGGAACGAAACACCTTGAAAACCCGCGTCAGGAGTCCATCCGCGTCAGGCACTGGCCGGCCGGCCGAGGTCACCTCCATCACGGTGAACGCCGACCCTCGAGACTGGCGCAACGCCTTGGCCTGTGTCATCCAGGAGGCCTTGGGCGTTTATCCCCACGTCTAGCCACACACATCGCGGAGGCGTCCATGGGGCATGTGCACGTGTGGTGTGAGAGTCGTGGACCACTCCACGTCTATCCACACGCCACTCCAGGATCGCAGGTGTAGTCTCCTACACGTTTGTCGACACGCGAAGCGAAGTTTGCGGAAGCGAAGAGAAGAATCACATGGATTTCCTTGTAGTCCTGCCACAACAAACTAGTCACTAAATGTCACTGTCAGTATGATGTGTCATGATATAGTCACTTCACTCATGGTCATGGCTTGGAGTTGCACTGCCTTTGAAGATTTGTACTTTTCCAGCTTGAGAAACGGCGAAGTGGATTTGTCGCCACAGCACATTTCCACGGGTCCAGGTTTGGAGGCCTCCAGGTCAAAGCTGGCTAAGCCTGAAGGACCCAGAGAATTTTAACAAAAGTTAGGAAGGAACGAAGGAAAAGAAAAAGGTTATGTTGATGTCTCTCTTTTCGGACAAGATTAAGTGTACCCGCTCCTCAATCCATATGCCGTCAAGACATCTTCAAGAACTTGTTGCAAGCCGGTTTGGTCAACCCTAGTGATGAATAAGTGGTCACCTAGCTGCTAGGCTCGCCTCCAGAAATGAAGATGACTATCCCCACTATACCCAATGAGGATAGCACCCTTTGGATTCAAAGTAGGCAAGCTGCAGGCTTTCGAGAGTTCGGGAGACCCCACCCAAAGAGTTGAGAGAACAGGAACAGCACCCAGAAGGGCCTTGATGGGCCTTTGTAGCCTGGCCTAGTAACACGGGCATTACTACTAGTAGCAAGAAGCTTCTAATAGCAAGGTGCCTTACTACTAGTAGCTTGTTACGATAAGTAAGGCACCTTGCTACTAGGAACAAGAAGCTACTGGGCCTTGATGGGCATTTGTGGCCTGTCCTTGTGTGCCTTTGCACCAGATCCGAGCCATCTGTGACTACGGCATCACGGAGAGCGAGATGAAGCGCTACATGGATGCCATGTTGAAGGACCCGATTTGGCGCCCGTGGGTGTCAAGATACTGTACTTCTCATGCTACAGTGTCCATCAGTATCCTGGGGACGCAATTGGAGGGCAAGATATGCAGTCTCATTTTGACGCTTTACATGCTCGTTTTCTAGATGATTTCAAGATCCACAGATCCACCTCAACTCAGGTGCACTTGTCAAGAAAGCCCACGGCAAGCGCGTTACACCTGCAGTTCTTTTTTTGAATGATCAATTCACACCCTGAGCTAGTGACTAGTAGATCATTGACCGGATGACTCAACACTGATTCTTCTGCGAGTGGGAGAGTTGTGAGAGACTCGTGGCATCTCGTGGCTTCAGGATGTCCAAAAGGGTGTCCAGGAGAATGACACGGTGCCCTCAGAGGACGGAGTCGTCGAAGTCGTCCGGTCTGGTCCGCTACCTCCCTCGTGCCTTCGGGTTGTGTTTAGCCTTCCATCAAACCTTGAGCCGGATTTGGGCCCAACTCACGTCTTCCTTGAAATGACTTCAACTGTCGCCAGTAAAAGCAACACCCAGCAAGGAGAAAGCACTCTTTGGGCATCTTTGGGCTATTTTGGATGTTTTTTGTGTGTTTTGCATTGCATCTCGAGACCTTTCTGTTTAGTTTCTTTGTTTTGTTTCATTCCTTCTTTTCGCCTAGTACTTACTTTTAGGCCCTGTCTGTGGTGTAGTCGCAGGACCACCTGAACTTCATCATGACAAGCGACGTGTTCGACCATGCTGCCGCCTCAGCAACTGTGGCTTAAGGCGACCACGACCACAGTGGCTGTAGCAGCCTTCTCAGCCCTTGAAACAAGTCGAAGTGATACAAGATGCAGCTCCTCTTGGCAAGGAGGTCTTATGATTCTATGAGATCCACTAGCAGAGGCTGTAAGAACCACGTTGTGTGTGTTTGGTATTCTCTGAAGAATCCGTTGGTCATTGATCTGAAAAACTACGTCATGTGGGCAGGGCCTCTGTGGTGTTGCCTGGTTGGTGTTGACCGTCGTGGAATGGGTCCGGAGCATGTTTCAAGCTACTTCAAGCTACACTCACCACTGCTACCCGCCTGGTGGGTCATTGGGCTTTGAGCTTTGAGGTCATCATGCATCCTGAGCAATCTTACGCAGCCTTTAAGGAGGCTGGAAGCCGTAGTCATCCAATGCAAAGAGCAGATGACAAAGGGTGGGTTGTTCGACTAATAGCATAGCTGCGGAAGCCCAGCTTGGTAGTGGCTGGAAAAGGTTGCCTTCTATTCACGCCAACACCAGCATCCCTCCATTTTTGTAGGGTTGCTTTCGGTGGTTCCTTTGCATCACCTTTAGACCTTGTATTCCGTGCAGGTGGCACCCACGGTGACCATGGAGCAGGCGCACGATTGATGACGAGAGAGTCGAGAGATGTCGGGAGGGACAGGAAGTTGTGAAGTTGATGATTGAAAGTCGGATGTTGTTTCTGTTTTTTGTTCTTCTTTCTTTTTAGACCTTTAGACTGTGCTTTCTTACTTTTTACCTGTTTCTTTTCAGCCAATTCCAACCAACATGGTGTGTCTCACATTGGGTGTCCATCATTCCCAAAGATCACACACCACTGCACATCAGTATTGCTTCTTCTTTGGGTGCTTTTAGGTGTTCCATCATCCAAACAGAACAAGTGCTGTTTCCGCCCATAGTGCTGTTTCTCGATGACAGGTGCATGCCACAGCGAAGTGGATGCTGGGATTCATCGGCTACTATGGCTTGGCCGCAGCTCCACCCATCACCGCGATTGTCGTGTGATGGCCTAAGCCTCTCTATTTTTTATGAGTAGTTCCACTGCTTGATGTTCTGCTTGAAGTTTCCAAAGGTCCTTCATTCTGTACTTTAGTGTATGACTGAGACAAGGATGCATCAATACAACAGTCAGCCTTTCCATGGACACTTCTTATTTAGACAACAGCAGACCTTCCGTCAGGGCCTTTGGCACGTTGTCAGCATGTGCCTCACAACTGCGACTGAAGGTGCACACCAACACAAGTCTATGAGGAGTGCCACCATCAGGGCACAGACCTGTGATTTGATTGGTTCGGGTGTCAAAAATGACTGTTCAACGACTTTTCAATGAATCCCATGAGCAGCCGTGCATCGTAATCAGACAAGCCCAATGGAAGCATCTCGGCCCACTTGCCCAGCCAATTTCAGATTCATCAATCGACCACACCGATTCCTGTGCCACGAAGGAGCACAGTGGCAAATGGGTGGCAATCTCAGCGGTCAAGAGCATTCTTTGCAGAGCTTACGTACTACCAGCAAGGTCAAGAAGATGCAAAATTTACTATCAGAAAAGACCCATAGAGACCCTATACAGGTCTTCATACTGGTCTTCACATTACCGCCTTCCTGTGAAAGCCTTCTTTCAGACAGGAAGGTCCCACACCTGCGTCAGAATGTGCCCACACCAGCCTTTTTGGGCGAGGTGCCCTTCAGCATCACGGAGCAGGAGGCCGGAAAGCTGAAAAATGAGAAGCGGTGATAAGAAGGATCAAAAAAGGAAAACAATAGAAAATACCAGGGACTGGGACTGCCGTTAGAAAAGGTGGTGGAAGCATTGAAGCACTTTCTTGGTGAGTTGCAATGGCTGCAAGAGCCTCGAGCCTCTGCGATTCGCACACTTCGTAAATCTTTCCTGAGGTCATTGAGCTGCTGCTCTCGGTGGGAGAGACCCAGACCACAAAGGATCAATCGGATGAAAGGGCGGATAAACTTGTTGAAGGCCATCGCTTGTAGGTTGGAACTCGTCAGACCCGGATCAAGCTTCCGGAGTCATCATGTGAGTTTGGCGGCAAACATGAGGAAACCATTGCTCAAGGGTCGTGTACAAACCGTGTCCGGCGTGCAGGGGGTCTTTCTTTGCAGGGGAAGTTGGGAATGCGTTGTATGCGTGGCGTTGATTCCGTGAAAACCAGCATCGATCGCCATCGGAGAGAAATCATGGAGATGGTAATGGCAACGTGGCAACCGTGTTTTGAAAGCCATTTTACACACCTAGTCTGGGACTTCACCCCTTGTCACATACTAAGAAAGCGTTTAGAAGCAAGAAAATAAGTGTTCCTTTCTGTTTGTTTTTCTCGGTGTATGTGTTTTTTGTTTTGTTTTTTTGTTTGATTCCCCAAACCGAGTCTTGAACTTCACTGTCCGCGATGAGGTTCCTGACAAGACCAGGGAGGAGGCGCTCAACCAGGCGTTCACCGAGTTCTGTTGAATTCCAAAGGATGTTTTTGAAAAGTCGAGCAAAAGTCAAAAACCATGTCTAGATATCTGTTGACGAGTTTTGCTGACCATTTTGCTGAGAATTTGCTTCTTTTGCCCCGTTTCCATCACCCAGCGCACCCAGCGCAAACGCTGTTTGGAAGGGTGAAGACTGGTTCAGTAAATGGTCAAAGAGGTGGTTGAAGTTCTTAAAGGTGCAAACAGATTCAGATGGCTCCCAGCCTGTCACTCGTTGAACATCAAAACCCCTTCCATCCCTTTCCAGCAACAAGAGCGCTCGTCACTTTCACGTTCTCTTCAATGCCCACAGTGATTTGATGACACTGAGTGAGTTCAATGATCTCAATTGTGGTAGCCAGGTGGACGTGCCCGAGAACCTCTTGTCAGGACCCGATTTGAAATCCCAAAAACCGCGATATCAGCGATGGATAACGATGGATGAAGGCAATATGTGTAATGCGTGGCTTTAGCAAAGCAGGAGAGAAGCTTGAGAAGATCTTGCCACCAAGCCCAGTGGATGTTTCAACCTCAGATACCGATCTGGTCGATGCTGCTCCATACGGCAGAGTGAATGTGTAGTACTGAAGGAACGGAAACACCAAACACCCTGAAATTCGAGGTGTTTTGTACCAATGCAGTTTTATCCACCAAACAGTGAGTTGTTTGCCCACCATTTAGTTTGTCCTTGGTGCCCGTCCAGTGTACATAGTACAAAGTCATACAAAGTCAATAACTTTAACCTTGGCCCTGGAGCTGCTTTCGCACTAGACGTGAGCGATGAGACGGTAACAAGCTTTCCTCCTTGACCTTTCGGAGGCCATGACTGCTTGGCGAGCGGCCTCACGCAAGGCGATGGTTTGGGCTGGCGATCGTGCGTGAATTGCCCAACTGATGTAAGCCATTCCAAACCTAGCATCTAGCATCCATTCATCTGGATGAAAGGCATTGTAAGGCATTCCAAACCTCAATGCCATTCGAGTCCTTGCTGTTCCCGTTCAGGTGGACGATGTGACCGGCATTGTGCAGATCATGCTGCCCAATGGGGCACGTGCCGGGCATTGGCCTGTTTGGAAGCCACAAATGCGTCAAAGAGCTCGTGGAGGAATAGAAGCTGAGAAGTTATGAGAAGTGGTCCAGGATTCATCTCAACCGTTCTTTGGCTTTTTTCCTTCCTTTATTTCTTCCACACGTTTTTTGTGCCAGGTGAACTATGCGTGCACCCCGAACGAGTCTCAAGGCACACAGAGTCACCGTCCACACCGTCCGACCGTCCACACCGTTTGTCCATCGCTTCCGTCGGGAGGCTCGTTGCGGATTCTGGTGCCTGGCGGTCGCGTCAGAGCCCCAGAAAGCGCCGTTTTTAGGAAATGGCCTTGCTTTTCCATGGAAAAAAAAGAAAAAGAGCATGAGAATAGAAAAAGTTTAAAAACCGTCCAATAATTGACCCTGAGTGAAGCAGTTGGTGTCTGGTGTCCATATATAGTTAGAATCTATTTTTACCTGTCGTGCTGCTGAGATCACTACTCCTAGATCCGAAGTATGGAGTTGCTGAATGAAAGCATAGACCGCGGAGCAATTTTGTCTGGCCAGTCCTCTGACGAAGACGATGAGTTGGCCTCTGCAATGGTCGGCATCAGGCATGTTGCTGAAAGCATTTGAAGGGAAAAGAAGAGAAAGAAAGAAAGGAAGGAAGGAAGGAAGGAAGGGAAAAGATGAAGCAGAAGCCGCGGTACAGCCTGGCGCAACCTGAGGGTCTGACTACGAACATAGCTGCAGCACTCCAAACATGAGACGCAAGCTTGTTGTGAATTTTGGAAGGACCATTTCTGAGTCTGGAGCAGTGGGGGACTCAATCGCACTGACGCAAGAAAAACATAGAAGAACAATCTTCCCATCCGTCTTAAGGGAGATGTGCAGTGCGCAATATCTAAAAGCTCAGAGCATAGCCGATCCTCAAAAAAAGTCCTGAGCAACCAAGAAACACGAGTTCAAAGTATCCAACACGTGCAATGCGCAGCATGGGCCCCGTGGGTTTCAGTGGCGTGCGGCCCTGCCTGCAGCGGCATGTCTCACTCGAGGTCAGCGACTTTTCGCGCGAGCAGATCGAACTCTTCGCCGTGTCCAACTTGATGAGCGTCCATTTGGAGACTTGGTTTGCAGACGCTACTAGGAGCGTTCGGACGCTACTAGTAACAAGTGCATCGCTTCTAGTAACAAGTGCCTTACTAGTAGTAACAAGAACGCTACGAACAGGGCTCCTGGCCGTACTACTAGGAGCGATCGGACGCTACGAATGGGGCTCCTGGCCGTACTAGACTTGGTTTGCTCTTTTGCTCTTGGTTCAGCCTACGAAAACTGCAAGATAATCATCAGGTAGGTAGCCTAGTCGCCTCAGGCAAAAGTTATCTAGCTTGGTTCATGACAACACGGTTGGAGCTTAGGTGCTTTGCTGTGCTTGAGTTCTTTTAGCTTTCAGCAAACTTGAGGATCTCAATCTCGAGTTCTCCTTCATCGACGCCAACTTCACCAACACCACTGGAGGCACCTTGACTCGGAAACCACCAAATATGGTGACAGCTGCGGGAAGCATCCTAACTCCCAGATGTCCATTTGTCTCTCCCACCCGTCAGCAACATGGATCTGACAAGTTCCCCCAGCCCTCGTGCCCTCAGCGAGATTGATACTGTAGGGTTTGATGGAGCACAGGAACACTTCACGGCCCCAGAAGCAGCTAAACCTTGCTTGTGCGCCCAACCGGTGTAACACCTAGAACGTTGTTAGAAAAAGCGCCTCACGCTGCTGTCAGGTCTCACTGCAGTTCAGCACTCAGCTTTGAACATCCTGTTCAACCGTCAATTTCTGGGCTTGAAGTGTGCTGTTTGAATCAACACATAATAGTAATAAACTGAAATCTATTGAGACCACCTGGTAAAAGGAAAGCATATTTGCATGTGGGCTTGAGGAAGTGATTGAAACACGCATTCAATCCCTTCTGGCCCAAGGTTTTGGAACTTCTGCATCTTCTTTTCCAGGAGACCGCAGCTAGAGTGCCAGAATCCGAAGATATCTCCGGTCACCTGATGCATTTCCAGGTTGCAGGCCATCGCTCTCAGGAGGCCATTGCTAGAAGCTGTTAAGCACATTGCACACAGCGGCAGGAGCCTCGCTGGGAAGTTCCCGCATTTGTCCGGGCACAGCAGGCGTACAAGGCGAGGCCCGTGGGAGGTGGCACACGGGAGGTGCTTTGGTCCCGTTGATGGCAAAGTGTAAAACTGCTAGCGCTGCAAGGTGTGATCATGTGCATTGAAGGTGCTGTGCAGCTATACGCTTTTCTGATAAGCACGTGCAACATCTTGCAACAGTTCTTTGATGTTCTTTGAATTGGTAGTATGGTGACTTGATCCTATTCGACCAAGGTGACGCTACAACTGAAGCCTTGACCATTCCGCGTTGAAGCTTTACCCAGACGGTCCGACGGTTGAAAATGCAATCAAACGAGACGGTCCAATGGTCCACCCTGCGAAGGCCCAGGCCTATGCAGTGCAGAAGTCTTTGGCCTTGGGCTCAGTCTACCGACGCAAGCTTGCAACGTCATGCTTGTTTGTAAGGGATGTACATGCTGAGGAAAGCTAAACAAGTTGTGTCTTCTAGGGGCTGATGGGGAGTTGTTGAAAGGGTAGTTCTTGATTTATGCAGTTCCTGCAAGTATCTTGTCAGTCATGGCTTTTCTTATTGCAGGGATTGCTTGGCTCAAGGAGGCTCAAGAATGCCGGACAAGTCAAAAAAGCGGCCCTCAGGTGGCCCACCCCCAGGGTATCAGCAGTTGCTGCCCTACCATTATGGTGGATGGAATCCAGCATGGGGTGGCAAAGGACTCAGCCCTGACTCCAGCAGTGCAGTGATGACAAACCTATCTTGAACAAATCCCAGCCTTAATGAATGCCTTAAGTTCTCACCCACCTCCTGTACCAATCAACCCCACCACCAGGACCTCAACATACCCCTGCTGCTGGCTATGATTATGATATGGTAGAGCCTGGTGGAGAGGAAGAGAAGGAGGAGTCACAAAGCACCCATGAAAAGAAGAAGAAAAAACACAAGAAAGACAAAAAGGGAAAATCAAGGAAAGCATCCAAAAAGGCAAAGAAAAAGAAAAAGGATACTAGACTTACTTGTAACTTCATGAGCTGGTTTCAAAGGTGCAGTTGGTGATATGAATGGTGGAGTCTCTCTTCATGTGTTTTGAGGGGTTAGCAGTTAGCGCACTCAGATTACAAAGCCTAGTAACTTAGTAAGTGGATTCCTTTGTACCTATAGCCAAGGAAAGCAGTTCCAGCAGCTATGACTCAGATGCAGTGGACAGTGATGCTGCCAGTGAAGACCTTGACAAGATGAAAATTGATAGGCAGAAGCTTGCAGCAATAGTTTTTATTGGCATTCAATTGTCACCAAATCAGATCAAAGTGCTATTCATCTGAGGCTGGGTTGGACTACATTGGGTGGAAATTGGATGGCCCATAGCAACACTTCCTCAGGACACATGTTCAAGAACAGTGTGGGGAGGAAGGAGAAGCTGAGGTTCCTGAAGCACATTGCACCAAATCTCTGCCCTCCAGGCCCATGGGTTCATGAAGTTCTGTCCCCATTCCAGTGCAGGTTTAGTTGTGCAAGCATACTCTTTTGGAGGGTGGGGGGTTTGGTTGTGGTGCCAGCCAGCCTTGCTGCAGGTCAAAGTGCCAACCTGTCCAACCAGCAAATAGACATGATGATCTTTCTTTTCACAGACCTGGGGCCAATGACTTTGATTTCAGAGCTTCGAGTTCAAACCAGAGGCCATTTGAGCCTTTGATGCAATGTGTGATCAGAGGTTTAGTCTCACAGTCGCATATGTGTTTTCTTAAGCTGTGTGTGCTATGAATTTGTTTGCCCATCCACCATCAGGAAGAGGAGGTTGCTTGAGCTATCTGAAAGGGAAATGATGGCAAAACAAAAGAAGGAAAGGCACCTTGGGTTAGACTGGACCACTATGTGTTGTTCATGTTTGTTTGCTATGGTTCACTCAAAATGGGATTCTCAGCATATCACCTTTGCTCTCTCAGGCAAGACATGGTCAAGCAGGACTATTCCAATGTGGAGGAACTGGCCAACCAGCATGGATGGAAGCAGCACTTCCAAAATGCAGCAAAGACACTAGGCTTCAGATGAATCATTCAGTCACTCCACACTCACTATTGCCACAACAATTTTGTAATGATAGTCAAGTGGCAAAGCTCCTCAGGATGAGGGGGCCTGAGAAACCATCCAAGAATCTTCCCTACAAGTTGGTCACCATGCAACTTGGCTTTGCTCAGGCAGACTTGACTTCAATGTCCTGCCTTTGAACTGTGTTTTTACAAGTATTGTTTAAATTTATAACTTGACCCCCAGCCCAGGTCCAATGGCAAACACTTGGACCAGACTGATGGCTCTTCTGTCTTGGTGGCACCACCAGGGTGCCCAGCAATTCTCTCCTATGCAGATGGGAAGCAATTTTTGAACTTGGGAGAGGCAGAGGTATATTATATACATTCATATGTTGAATGAGCACTTGCAGGGGTGCAGTGTATTGCTTTTGCAAAGAAGTTGTTTCAATCAGCATTAATATGTTGTATGGCCTTTCCTGAGCTTCAGGGTGTGCAGATGGAGTGCGATATCATCACCAGGACTGGCCCTGGTTTGAAAGACTGGTGGCAAACTTTGACCAACTATGCTGTGGCCCACAAATATGACTCCTGGGCAGTCCCATGGTTGGCAATCCTGAGAGGCCCCCTGGAACTCTCCATGTTGGCTGTCACACTGTTGCATGTCATGATGCCTGATTGTGTGAACTGTTAATGTTAGGATGAATGCGCACCTGTGTGAACCTTGCCAAAGGCCTTGATGAAGACAATTGGCAGAGGCAACAGCTTGACAGAGCAGAGGCAGAGGCAGAGAAGAAAGGTTCTACTGAAGATGCAGGAGGGCCCCCCCACTTCACTGACAAAAAACAAGAATGAATTAATGCAACTAACTAAGAATCTAAGAAGTAGCCATTATTTGTCATTGTTTGTTCAGTGATTCAGCCAGGGTTCCTTTCATTTTGTTCAAGATGATAAGTGTCTCACTATGCCTGCCTGCCCTCTCAGGAGGACCAGTGCCAACCCAGGTGGCTACCACTGCTGTTGGCCAAACAGCACAGGCAGCCTTGGCAATAGCCACCACCTACAGCAACCCAGCAGTTGCACAACACCCCAGAGGAAGACATGATGGCACTATACCAGGACTGATTGAAAGACTTGCCAAACTAACCATTCAACTTGAAGGGTTGGGTGAAGGGTTGGGTTTGATAGTTTAGGTTTGAAGGGTTGGGTGGGGGGGGCCTTTAAACTTTACTTACCTTTTCATTTTTGGCAGGACTGCTGGCACACAACAGGGCAAAGGCAAAGCTGCAGTCACCTCGGCCTTCACCATCACCTTCACCTCCTGCTTCAGAGCTTGGCAGTGCTGAGCCAAGTGCTCCCATTCAATATGATGACTTGGTGAAGAGCATTGAACATAAAAAAAGGAGGCTGAGCCTTTTGCAAGAAGGCAAAGGAGGTGCAACATCATCCACTGGTTTCCCAGGCTCAGAGGCTTCAGATGCAGAGGCTATGGAACAAGAATTTAGAGATCTGTGGGACAAAGAGCAGGCCAAGCTTCACAAGAAGTTGAGAGCTGAGTTTGCCAAGACCCATGGAGGCTTTCAGGTAGTTGCAGCCAGTGATGAAGAAGAGTCTGATGTCAGCTTGAGTGCACCAACTCGCATTTTAGGAGACTGGGGGCCCAGGCAGGTCAACTTCAACAAGGACATGGAGAATGCCAAGGAGCCCCAAGAGCATGAACACATTTCAGAGACCCAAAGGTTGAAGCTGCAGCTCAAGAAGGCAAAGGAACAGAATGCGCAAGCAGAGCTGCTGAGAGCCTTGAACAAGGCAGGTGATGGTCTCAACAAAGGAATTGAAGCAAAGGAGTTTCACAGTGGTGGGATAGATGATCAAAGAGTGACTGAGGCAAGACAGAGGCTGCTACAGAGAGAAAAAGAAGAAGCAACTGCAAGAATGCGTGAGAGGCAAAGGCTGAGAGAGGAGAAGAAAGCAGCAGAGGAGGCAAATAAAATGCAGCAGCTGAAGCAGGCTGAGGAGAGGGAACAAAGCAGGCAAGCAAGGCAAATTGAGGAGCAAAGGTTGAGAGAGGAGCTTGCAGAGAAGAAGAAGGCAGCCAGAGAGTTGAAGGAGGCAAGGGAAAAGAAAAGGCTTGAGGAAGAGGAGGGGGCAAAAGCTGAGGAGCAGAGGCTGAGAGAGGAGATTGCAGAGGAG